AACAGAGAATACAAACTCAAAAACATCATCATTATAAGCGATAGTGCATCTGCTTTAGCAATAATTAAAGCACCAAATTAAATCTAATTTCTACAAAAATTAAAAAAACAAATAACTGGTGTTCACACCATAAACCAATTACCTACAAACTTACGAACTACGGCACATATAACAATAACTCTATACGATTAACGAAGCCATAGTGTATGTAAGTGGAGGGCCTTCAACTCGTATATATATGTATATACTCGTAATGCCTCTGCACATCATGGTACTTCGGACCTAACAGTATTTAATAAATTCTGGGTGCTCAGTATGTAACTTTTAAGACTCTCTGTGATTGTCATTGCTTTGATCGGTGTTGAGGTCTTGATGTACAGCAAATTATTTTGACAGCGTAACTTCAAAATTACGATACACTGTTATTGATTTCAATAATCGGTTAATCCATGATTAGAGGAATTTTCGAGAAATTTGCGAGTCTCACAACATATTAATGGTGTTTTGTTGAGTTATTGTTGGTGGGGCTGGAAGGACAGAAATTCTAGGTGACTTTCTGAAAAACTATCAATTCGTCGATCTGTGAAACTCTTTCAAGATTCATCCCGGTGATTTTGCGTGGCGAACTCATCGATTGTGACTCTTCCAGGATCATACTCGAGGATCATCAGGTGGATGGGAAGGGGTGCCGTAGAGACTGAATAAGAATGTTGTTCAGAACTCTCCGATCGAACTGTTGTTGATCAGCTTGTGGACTGCAAGGAGTGTCTTGTGATTTGAAGATCAATGAGGATCTTCAGGCAAATTGGAATGAGTGTTAAATGAATATGAACTGTTATATTCACTCTCTCATATCCAAATATGAACTGTCATATTACTCTCTCTAATATAAATTTTTATTATAGAATTTTAAAATTAAAATTAAATAAAACATATCATACAAACCACAATTTATATATGTGAATATAAATAATCATAAATGTTATTGTTATTCTTAAACTTATAGCATTCATTACAATTGTATTAAAAATTGTTTATATTTTGTTAACTAAATAACTATGTTTCACCTCACATATATATGTTATTTAAATACTTAAAGACATTGTTAGAAAACTTATATATGTATATATAAATATTAATAATTATTGATAAGAAAAGAAATGTCACAAATAATTTATAATATTGTTATATCACAAACTATTTTACTAATTAATAATGTCTTCATCTTTATTCTAGAATAATCCTAAACTTTAATTGAAAACTTTAATTGAAAACTCATGATTTGTTATTAAAATAATTGTTAAATATAGTTACAAATATAAGTAATCCGGTTATGCCTATGCGGTACCGGAAATGTACGTTTGATATGTACCTAAATAAAAGATTGTGTGTGTGTGTATATAATAAAAATAAAATTACGAAACACGTTTAGTTTTGTCAATATTAGCCGCAACGTCAATCTGCGGTCAATATTGACAAAACTAATTCATAATGAGATCAAAACGTGATTCTAACCCAGTAGTTTTCAACCTTTTTTTGGATTTCTTGCATGACAGTATCTTTAAAGTTTTTTAGATTGCTTGCGGGCCCTTTAAAATTAACAACAATTAACATATTTCTGGGAACATATTGGGCTTAAACCTTTGACGCACACGCTGCTGGATTACGAGAAAGCTGTGCGCCTAAACCATTATACCAAGTATCAAATGAACTAACTTGGATTCCTCCACGGGATATAGCAATTAGTGGCAACAATCGGAAATAGCCCACAATTTCAACTAAGTGACCCCTTCACGATTTCCCTGTAACCGCTTCGCGAACTCCAGTTTAAGAACCACTGTTCTAATCGTTCAATTCGCTACTCAGTACTGACTGTTGGGTTTCTCAAAAAACCTGTCAACAGGTTCTTGCTAGTTATTATTAATTTGTCTTCAAAATTTTAAATTAAAATATTTCCTGTTTTCATTCATTATATTTGTTTAATCTATCAATACATATCAAACATTCTAATAACTGTAAATAAAATATAAAGCAAATATTATTTATAAATTTATTTCGTTCGTTTTAAATTAAAAAATAAAGACTCGCATAGCGTTACGAAACTCCTCGAGTTTCCTTAGTAATTATAAACGTAAACTATCTTTAGATTAATAATAATAATGATATATATTGGCATGATTATAGAACTTGCATGTCAAGGGATAAATTATGTGCATAAAATACAATAAATGCTTCATATTCTCAAGATTTCTATTTCGTATAAATTTTATAAACATCTGAACTATGCCAACAAAGTATAAATATTAAATTACTTTGGAATTGTGAAATGTATAATGTGTATTATTAAAACACAAAGTATTTCATCTTATTTACATTAATACTGATACACCAGTTTATCAAAATAATGTATAATCTGTAGAATCAATTTATTTCTAATGTATATATTCTATAAAATTTTAAATCAGCGGTGCTCAAATTTTTCATCGGCAGATTAAATTGCACATAAAACTAGGTTCTTCACACTGTCGTATGAATCAATATGAAAAAACGAAACGAACACTAATCAACGTGTACTAGGATGCGGACACTTTCAGATGTACTACGCAAGTTCTAACTCACTTTATAACTCACACTACATATTAAAGTGAGTTAGAACTTGATTGGTTGAAACGTTTCGAACATTAGTTATGAAAAGAATCGTTCGAATGAACCGAACTATCTTAAA